TACTTGAGCCCAGGAGTTTGAGACCAGTCTGAACAATATAGTGACACCTTGTCTCTACGAAAAAATTTTCTAAAAATTAGCTGAGCTTGACAGCATGTGTCTGTAGTCCCAGCTACTTAGGATGCTGAGGTGGCAGGATCACTTGAGCCTAGGAGGAGGAGGTTGCAGTGAGCCAAGATTACACCACTGCCATCCATCCTGGGTGACAGAGTAAGGCCCTGTCAACAAAATGCTTAATATAGGCCCCCAAACTCTTCTGGCGTGTAGGATTTTTGCTGAAGGAGCTGCTGAAAGATCTGCTGTTAGCTTTATATGTGTCCCTTTGTAGGTAACCTGCCTTTCTGTCTAGCTGTCCTTAATATTTTTTCTTGCCCATTGACCTTGGAGAATCTGATGACTATGTGTCTTGGGGGATGGCTGTTCTATATACTATCTCACTGGGGCTCTGTGAATTTTCTGAATTTGAATGTTGACCCCTCTGGCAAGGTCAGGGAAATGTTTTGAACTGTATTCTCAATTATATTTTCCAAGTTTCTTGCTGTCTCTCTCCCTCTCTTTCAGGGCTACCAATGAGTTTTAAATTTTGGTCTTTTTACATAATCCCCTGTTTCTTGGAGGTTTTGTTCATTCTTTTTTATTCTTTTTTCTGTATTTTTCTCTGACTGAGTAGATTTGCAAACCTTGTTTTTGAGCTCTGACATTCTTTCCTCAGCTTGGTTTATTCTGCTGTTAATACTTCCAATTGTATTATGAAATTCCTGCAGTGAGTTTTTCAGCTGTATCAGATCAGTTTGGTTCTTTCTTAAAATGGCTATGTTGTCTTTTACGTGTTAATCATTTTACTGGGTTCCTTAGATTTCTTGGATTGGGCTTCAACTTTCTAGTGAATCTTGATGATCTTCATTGCTATCCAGATTCTGAATTCTTGGTCTGTCATTTCAGCCATTTCAGCCTGGTTAAGAACCATTGCTGGGGAGCTACGTGGTTGTTTGGAAGTAAGAAAACACTCTGGCATTTTCAGTTGCCAGAGTTCTTGCTTTGTGCGAGAACATCAGCCCAGATAGACTAATTGTTTTTCGTCTGTCTGGGCTGATGTTCCTTTAATATTTGAAGTTGCTGTCCTTCAGATGGGGCTTTTTCTTTTATATTCCTTGATGCCATTGAGATTTACTGTGGCATAAGCTGGGTTTAGTTGACTGGCCTTGTTTCTGGATGATTTCAGAGGGCTTGGGCTCAGCTCAGTGCACCTGGACTTCATGCTCGTGGCTTTGTTTGCTGGCCCCTCAAGGTTAAGTACCTGCTGCACTGGAGGGTTAGAGGTGTTCCTGTTTCACTGGCAACCACACTTCAATGTGGCAGTGGCATAAGGGTCCACACTCATGTGTAATGCCAACAGTGGCTGGGTAGTAGCATAGTGAAGTCTGGGCATGTGCACCAGTGGTGTTGGCACAGCAGGGTCCATGTTTGCAGTGTATCAGCAGTGGCAAGACAGCACCATAGTGGGGTCCCCATGTGCCAGGGGTGCACTGGTGGGGGTGGGGCTGTGGTGCTAAGGTCCTTGCACCATGTGCATGCTAGCAAAGCAGTGTGGGGAGGCCGTGGTTGAGTGCATGCCAGTAGAGTGGTTGGGGGAGGCTGCAGACAGGTGTGTTTTGGCAAAGCAGTGTGAAGAGGCTGTTGGTGGGTGTGCATCGGCAGGGTCCATCTAATGTTTAAGTGGCATCTGCTGGCTAAGGAGCTACGGTGGTGGCCACCAGGAAGTGCCCCAGTTGGGCATCTGAGGCCACACTGCAAGTGAGCTTGGCCATGGAGGGACCTCAGAAGAGGCTGGCAGACAGGGGGCACTCAGATAAGACTGGCCCCATCACATGGACAAGACTGCCCTGCTCTGTCTAGCTCCAACAGTCAACAAAGGTCAAAGCCACTTAGAGGAGCATGGCAGGCCTTAGGGGATTGGCGTTGCTGACTGTACTCCACTATAGCCATTGCTGCGCCAAACCCTTTCGGCTCCACACAGGGTGGAGTCCTGTCCCTGCCACTTCTCTAGGCAGTTGTCTCTGCCAACTTAAATGTCTATGGGGGTCATGAGGTCTTCTGCAGCTAAGATTTCAGAGGTCCATGACAAGAGTGGGCCACTCCTCACCTGTTTAACTCACCCTGTCCCAGGAGCCACCAGGAGCTGGGAATGAGTCCTGGTGCTTTGAAGCCCAGTGCTGTGTTCCCAGCTTCTATGCAGGGTCTGTGTCCTCCCTCCAACCACCCTCAATGACTTCCTTCTGCAGATCTGCTTCGAGTGTGCTGGTCTTCCTGATGGTCTGGTCTCTTGGTGGGAGATGCTCTTCCTGGCTGTGTCTAGTCGGCTGTCTTGGTTCTCTTTCTCCTTTCTCAATTCCTGGAGAATGGAAGCCTGAGTTAAGTGTGCTGACATGGTCAGATTCTGTTGAGAATTCTCTTCCTTTGCACACAGTCACCTTCTTGCTGTGTGCTCACATGATTTCTTATTTGTGCATGTAATTTCTTGGCTTTTCTGGTGTTCCAGAGTTCTCCCTATGGATCTCCCAGTATCTGCAGGTCACAGGGTGACAGAGGCTGTGGCCAAGTGACCTGAGGCCTCCTGGAAAAAAGGGGATGCAGCACTGGAGATGGGACTCTGAGCTTCCCCATCAAATTGTGGCAGATGCTGCACTGTGCTGGCTTTGTAATTTCTTAGCCTGTTATTAATTTAGATTTAATTTTCTTACATAGTATTTCTAATTAATTCATTTTTATGACTTCTTATTCCTTCATATTACTTATACTTTATTTTGTCTCTTTGAGTTTATTTTTTGTATATCAGTTTTTAGTTTGTATGTCCCTATAATTCTGCTTCGTATAGTTTTTGTTTTTTAGGTTGTAATCATAATACTCAAGTATCTAGGTATTTTCATCCGCATGTTTGAATTGAGGATTTTACCTGTCTTGCCAGGTAATGTGTACTGAGAGAAGGGCTCAAAAGGCCAATTTTTCCCCCTTCAACTGTTCTGGTACATGTGCAGACATGCAGATTTGCTACAGGTAAACATGTGGCGTGGTGGTTTGCTGCACAGATCATACCATCACTTACGTATCAAGCCCAGCATCCATTACCTATTCTTCCTGATGCTCTCCTTCCCCTCGCCCTCCCCAACAGGCCCCAGTGTGTGTTGTTCCCTACAACGTGTCCAGGTGTTCTCATTGTTCAGCTCCCATTTATAAGTGAGAACATGCGGTGCTTGGTTTTCTGTTCCTGTGTTGGCTTGCTGAGGATAACGGCTTCCAGCTCCATCCATTTCCCTGCAAAGGACATATCTCATTCCTTTTCATGGCTACATAGTATCCCATGGTGTATATGTACCACGTTTTCTTTATACAGTCTTTCATTGATTGGGATTTAGGTTGATTCCATGTGTTTGATATTGTGAACAGTGCTGCAGTGAACATCCATGTGCATGTATCTTTACAAAAGAATGATTTACATTCCTTTGGGTAGGTATACCCAGTAACAGGATTGCTGGGTCAAATGGTATTTCTGGTTCTGGGTCTTATAGTAATGGGATTGCTGGGTCAGATGGTATTTCTGGTTCTAGGTCTTACAGGAATCACCACACTGTCTTCCACAGTGGTTGAACTTATTTACACTCCCACCAACAGTGTAGAAGCATTCCTTTTAATCTGCAACCTTCCCGGCTTCTGTTGTTGAATTTCTACTGTGAATTTAAGAAAGATTAACCTTCTGAAGATAGGTAGTAACCGCAAGAGTCTGCAAGAGTCATTAAACTGGGATGCAGATCTTACCTCTTTGACAGATAGGGATAGAGGGAAAGAAGAAAGGAAGGGATAGAGGGAAGTAGGAAAGGAAGGGATGGAGATAAGGAGGGAAAGGGAAGGAGGATAGGAAGGAATGTGAGGGGAGGGAGGGAGGGAACGTGGTGGGGCAGAGAGGGAGAAAGTATGGGAGGAAGGAAGGATGGGATGGAGGAAGGGATGTTTTTAGACAACTTATAATTGAATCCAGTAACTCTGGAAGGAAGGGAGAAGGAAGGGAGGGAGGGAGAGAGAGAGAGATTTTAGCCTGCAAGGAGGGAGGGAGGCAGGGATCTTAGCTTGCAAGAAGGGAGGGAGGAGGGGAGGGCAGGAGGGATTTTAGCCTCCAAGGAGGATGGGAGAGAGAAAGCCCCTGGAGGATCTTAGCTTGCAAGGAGGGAAAGAGAAAGGGAGAGAGGGAGGGAGAGAGGGGTCTTAGCCTGCAATGCAATCCCAAGAACATGTGTCAAAGTTGATAGGAACTCTCATAGATCTATCTTAGCATCCCTGCTGTACTCAGTCATTGGTTGGAGGCATCTCATGAAAGTAGATCTCGTTGTAAACATGATGATGATTCAGAGCACAGCAGCTGGGGCCATCAGTCACTGACACTTCTTGCAGTAGCAATTCTGAAGGGTACATTCTTGTGGCCTCCATGCTCCCCACCACTCTATTTTATGATCTTTACTTTGAAATATCCTGAATTTCCTATAAGAATATTAATCATTCAATATCTATATTAATAACAAGTTGTTTATTTCCTCGCTTTACTTGCAAATCTTTAAAAATTTACTTTCCTTCCCTCTGCTTTGACTCATTTTCCTTATGCTTTCCTTTCTAGGTTATGTTTTTCTGTCTTACCTAGGAAAGCTCCATCTCTACTAATAAGCCAACAAGTATTAAGTCTTTTCTTAAAACCTTTCATTTTCTCTAATAGGAAGAGACCTTATATTAACTTTTTATAAATATCTAGGGTAAGAAGACCATCTTTACATATACTGCAATGGTTAACTAGTTCCCTTGGTGACCATAATCTTGATATCTCACACACTTCTCTCAGAAGCTCCTTTTTATGAACTAATCCATTATTCACATGTTGGCTGAACATATTCACCAGGCTCCTAATTGAGAGCCTGGCTACTTCTCTATTCCTGATTGTTAGTTTTATCTATTGTACCATGTCCTTGATGCTTGTAACTCTGTTGGAATGCCAAAAAATCTTTTCTTCTTCAGCAAAACATTTAGTACATACATAAATGTTAGCCCTTTCCTTGAGAAGCAGTATGCTACTTTCTTCTTCCCAGCTGTTTTCTATGTGTCCGTAAGGCTTGACATTCTTTGGAATGTTTCTAGACAACTTATAATTGAATCCAGTAACTTTTTTTTTTTTAATAGTCTTGCTCTGTCACCCAGGCTAGAGTGCAGTGGCACAATCTCGGCTCACTGCAACCTCCACCTTCACCACTTTCCTGGTTCAAGCATTTCTCCTGGTTCAGCTTCCCAAGTAGCTGGGATTACAGGTGCCCACCACTGCACACAGCTAATTTTTGTGTTTTTAGTAGAGACAGGGTTTCACCATCTTGACCAGGCTGGTCTCAAACTCCTGACTTCGTGATAGACCTGCCTCGGCCTCCCAAAGTGCTGGGATTACAGGTGTGAGCCAACACGCCCGGCCGAATCCAGTAACCTCTTAAGTGAATTCCATTTCATCAGTTACTTACCCCCACTTCTCCCGTACTCCTACCCACAACCAATCTGCTGTTCTTTTTCTGAAATATACTTATTTTCAGAATCCAATTTAATTAAAATATTGCTCAAGAATTTTAAGTGATCACCTGTTATTTTACAAATCAAATCCAAAATATAACTTCTTTTAATATCATTTGAGGGCTCTTTCAGGGCCTCTCTAGTTTATCATTTGTCATGTTTTAATAATGAAAATAGATAACACTTATTAAATATTAGGCACCATGCTAAGTACTATATACCTATTTTTAATTGCACTTAATCTTCTCCACAACAAACTTCTGAGGTGGGTGGTTTTATTATTCCCACATTACATTAAGAACCTGGTCACGTAACTTGTACATGATCACTTTCCTGCCCAATATGAGGAGGAGCAGGGATTCTAATCAACTTAGTTTGATCAGGACTCATAATCACTATCAAGCCATATGTATTTCCAGCCATCATTACAGTATTCTAAAGATAGTCTTTTTAACTTTACTCTTTGGATAAACAGGATTTTCCCCAAGGTCATAATTGCATTATTTCTTCTCTACCAAACCATATTAGTCACTTTAAAAACCCTTCTCAAGATCCATTATTTGTAGTAGGCCATTCTACACTGACCATTCCTCTTAGGTTTGACTTTCTCCATACTCCAGTTTGTATGTAAATACTAACGTTAGCTGATTTTTTTGTCCTCTAGGTACTTGGCATGTAGTTATCTTCCTAGCCAACCTATAAGTTCTAGAGATTGTGTCTTCTACATTTTTTGGTGTGTCTTTTGTGCCTGGTGGCATTATAGGCACAAAGTACATGCTAAGAAAATGTTTTAAATTATTTTTAAATTTTTGTGGGTAAATAATAAGTATATATATTTATAGAGTTCATAAGATATTTTGGTACAGGAATGCAATGCGTATAATCATATCATGGAAAACCCATCCCCTCAAGCATTTATCCTTTGTGTTACAAGCAGTCCAATTATACTCTTTAAGTTATTTAAAAATGTATACTCAAATTATTATTTACTATAGTCACCCTGTTATGCTATCAAATACTAGGTCTTATTCATTCTTTCTGTTTTTTGTACTCATTAATCATCCCCACCAACCTCCCCTCCACCCTGTCACTACCCTTCCCAGCCTCTGGTAACCATCTTTCTACTTTCTATGTCCATGAGTTCAATTATTTTGATTTTCAGATTCCAAAAATAAGTAAGAACATGCAATGTTGGGCTTTCTGTGCCTGTCTTATTTCACTTAGCATAATGACCTGTGGTTCTGTCCATGTTGTTGCGAATGATAGGATCTCATTTTTTCTGTGGCTCACTAATACTCCGTTGTGCATATGTACCACATTTTCTTTATCCATTCATCTGTTGATGGACACTAAGTTGCTTCCAAATCTTGGCTATTGTGAACAGTGCTGCAATAAACACTGAGAGTGTAGATACCTCTTTGATATAATGATTTCCTTTCTTTGGGGTATATACCCAGCAGTGGGATTGCTGGATCATATAGTAGCTCTCTCTTTAGTTTTTTGAAGAACCTCCAAACTATTCTCCATAGTAGTTGTACTAATTTACATTCCCACCAACAGTGTACAAGGGTTCCCTTTTCTTCATATCTTCTCCAGCATTTATTATTGCCTGTTATTTGGATAAAAGCCATTGTGACTGGGGTGAGATGATATCACATTGTACTTTTGATTTGCATTTCTCTGATGATCAGTGATGTTGAGCACCTTTTCAAATGCCTGTTTGCTGTTTGTATGTCTTCTTTTGAGAAATGTTGATTAAAATCTTTTGCCTGTTTTTCAACTGGATTATTAGATTTTTTTCCTATGGGTTTTTTTGAGCTCCTTATATATTCTGGTTATTAATCTTTTGTCAGATGGGTAGTTTGCAAATATTTTCTCCCATTCTGTGAGTTTTCTCTTCACTTTGTTGATTGTTTCCTTTGCTGTGTAGAAGGTTTTTAACTTGATATGTTCCCATTTGTCCATTTTTGGTTGCCTGTGCTTGTGGGGTATTACTCAAGAAATTTTTGCCCAGACCAATGGCCTGGAGAGTTTCCCTAATATTTTCTTGTAGTAGTTTTGTAGTTTGAGTTGTTAGATTTAAGTATTTACTCCATTTTGATTTGATTTTTATATATGTCAAGAGATAGGGGGTCTAGTTTCATTTTTCTGCATGTGGATATCCAGTTTTCCCAGCACCTTTTATTGAAGAGACTGTCTTCCCTAATGTATGTACTTGGCACCTTTTTCAAAAATGAGTTCACTGGATGTGTATGGATGTCTTTCTGGGTTCTTTATTCTGTTCTAACTAACAAGTGTTAGTTCCATTTTAGATATGTGGGAAACCAAAGCACAGAGACTACTTTGTTTGTCATCTGTCAGAAGTAGGCTCTAGAATCCAAATTTCCTAATATCTAAAACATTCTTTCTATGACAAAATTATCAAATTGAGATAACGATTTGCAAACTATAGAACAGTAGAATAGCAGTAGTAGCAGCAGCAGCAGCAGCAGCAGTAGTAGTAGTAGTAGTAGTAGTAACAAAAGCAATGTTTATTGAGGACTTATTTATTACTGTGTGATCGGCACTGGGCTAGATATTTTTAATTCTATCTTGTTAATCGTTAAAGTCCTGTTGGTATAGTCCCGGTATCTAATGCAGTGTCTGGTATATAATAGGAGTTTGTAAGCATTTGATAGTGAATGAATGAATCCTTAAAGAAGTAAAATGTATAAAGCAGGTTTTTAACTCTGTTAATTGATAAAACTGTGATGGTTTAAGGCAGTTAGAAAAATAAATAAATTTGGAGAAAGGATGAGAGGAAATAAACAAAAAATAGACTTCATTAAATGGACGACTGCTGAAATGTTATAGGTTACATTGATAGCCAGCTGCAAGGAATTTCTAGATATACAGTTAAGGATAAATGAAAAGAAAACACTGAATGCTTTGAACAAAGATCTAAATTGGATAACTACCAGGTACAGAAATTGCATATGTTTTAAATAATTTTAAGAGGTTTTATTTAATTAAAATAAATAATAATCAATGTTTTGCCATGTGGTTTTATTTACACATTCCCAATGGAAGGAAGAATTAAAACAAAAGAAATGAAAGTAAATTGGTAAAGATGATTCATATTTATGAAAGTTTTCTTTTTTTGGTTTTAAAACAAATTTAAATTTGTTTTTCTTAATACAGAAAAAATTACATAAAAATGAGTCAGAATGTGGTTGTGAAATTAATTTCTTAGAACTCTCAGACTTTAAAATTGATGATTTGTGAATGCTTTTTCTTAACAAACATTTGTTAAGTATGTGTTTTGTTGAGGCAAGGTGGACGGTTGAATGAAGACGTGCTTCTTATGCTTCTCATTGTCAGGAGCTTTCAAGTTAGCTTGAATGAGAGTAATACATTTAAAAATAATGGACGGTATGAAAACCTGTGTGATAAATATCTACTGAATGGTAATGGTGTTCTGGGAGAGACAAAGAGTAAAAGCAAAAGCATGAGTAAAGTAGTGTATATGTGACAGTGGATGACTATTCTGCCAAAAAATGGGGCGTTTGTACAGACACTAGTAATGGAAAGAGTAAATTAAGGTTACACTGTAACCTGTGACTTTTAGCAGTTTGCAGTCACAAATGCAATGATACTGTTTTCTGCTATGCTGAGTGCTTGGCTTTCTGAGGATGTGGGTCTTAGTGTTATGGAATTTAAGGTGAAATGATCTTTTTAAATGTGGCTCAATAAAACCAATTAGCCAAAGAATTTCTTTTTCCTCCATAGCTAGAGGAGGTCCTTCTTTCTTTGGGATTCTTCCTGACATCTCATTAAATTTTATCTTTCAAATACCTTTAAGTCTATAAAACAGTCTTCTCGTTGTTTACAACTCATCAGGCAGATTTGTAGCTTGTACCACAGAAGTTAGTATTTATTTTTTTAGCTGTACTTCTATATTCAAATATTTATTTCCATAAATTCATATATCCTTAGAGATCATAGTAAACTTAAGAGATCATATAGCCCAATCCTCTCATTTTACAAATGACGTAAGTGATGCCCAGATAAGTTATGACTTTGCCAAGGTTATGTTGCTATCTAGAACTCTTGATTTTCTCATTTTTTCCCCCAGTATAATGTGTTGCATAAATTATTGAGTCAAATTAAATCAAGTATTTTTTCACACTCATTTTCTTGGGAACACTTTATTTGCACTTTCAGTGCTTCCATTAACTTTGCTTTAAATTGGGTAGTATATTCTTTTGATTGAAGCTGTCAACTTTTAAAGTTAATTATTATACTTTATAATTGTTTTTATACATATCATAATTTAGATTCCCATTATCATTTCATGCCTTTGTGCATCTTATTTAAGCATAGCCAAGAAGAGAGAATGTGTGTATGTGTGGGATGGACGGGTCTTAATACAAAATTTATAGTCTTTTGGTAGGTGATGATGGCTCATAGTTACCTTTTTCATGGCTTTGTCATATCCGTTACTTTGCTGAATCTGTTCTTCTCCAAGTAGATGTTAATCCTCTTAGTTTTAGGATTTTAACCTTAAAGTTTCTGGTTTCTGCCCTTTTTATTGTTTTTATTTATTTATTTATTTTGAGACAGAGTGTTGCACTGTGGCCCAGGCTCGCGTGCAATGGCATGATCTCAGCTCACAGCAGCCTCTGCCTCCCGGGCTCAAGCGATTCTCCTGCCTCAGCCTCCAGAGTAGCTGCAATTACAGGAGCACACCATCACACCTGGCTAATTTTTGTATTTTTAGTAGAGACTGGGTTTCACCACGTTGGCCAGTCTGGTCCCAAACTCCTGACCTCAAAAGTGATCTGCCTGCCTCAGCCTCCCAACGTGCTGGGATTACAGACGTGAGTCAGCGTGCCTGGCTCTGCCCTTTTAATTTAAGGTTATTTTAAAATTCTTCCTAGCTTTAATGCCTAGGTCTTCCCTCTTCAGCACTAGATCTGTTTTCTTTAACTGGTACTTTTCAGTGAACTGACAGGGTGTGATACGGAGCCACCATACGAAGCCCTGGACTTCCCAACTCTGGATTTCCCTTTTACACACAAGAATGAACTGTTTGTGTGTACACTGATATGGTCTGATCATGAATGTAATTCTAACCGAATCAATACTTTATCTCATTTAATGCTTTTACTAACCCTGGGTTAGTCATAACTACCATGTAACTCTGCCCCTGTTAGTTGAGGTGGTAGAGGTGCCACTTCACCTGAGGCTGTGGCACTTCTATTTCTACTGAGTACAAGCTCAGGGGTAAGATCACAGGACATCACTGCTTGCCTTATCTGGTGCAGAGAAACAGAGAGCCCTGCCATGGTTCTGTACCTACTAGCTTAAATCCCTGTCCTTCCTCCTATCCCTGTTTTATTACTGCTTCTTGAAATAAGATTTCTGACAGGGAAGTATGATGTTGAAAAGTGTCCTATTTATTATTAGAAATATTGCTTTTTAATATAAATAAATATTACTTGAAAAGTCTTATTTTTACTTCAGCAATTTTGTGCTCCACATTTGTACATCCCTAGGTAGCTTAACAAGGAGTTTTATTTACCCAGCATTTAAAAGCACCCCATTTACATTTTTCCATCAGTTCCTTCTTTGATAGTATACTGTGTATCTTTGTAACTATTTCTTAATAGATGATATAAAATAATTTTCAGAAGCATATACCATAGCCAAAAAAAGTGAATAGTTTAAATTTCTGCTGTATACATCCATTCCAGGAAGAGAGTTGATTACTTCTTTCAATTTTCATGTATCTTCCGCTAAACTAAATCGTGAAATGTAACTATTCTACCCTTTTTCTTTGTATAGCTGACTGTTTTGGTCTTGTCAGGAGATCTCCTTCTACTGAGGAGTTTAGGAAGAAATTTGTTTTTTAAAAGAGATCCCCTTAAGAGAGTAATAATATGGACAGTAATTTTAGTTAGAACCATCAGTGATTTGCATGTCATTGCCTGATTATGTAAGTTTATGGGCAAAACAGGTAGCAAAGAACTTGGGATATAGTAGGCACACAGGCACTAGTGTCTTTTTTCCCCTTATACAACTAACACCTCAAATTTAGTAGCTAAGCAGCTGCTGGTTTAGAATAACCAGCTAATATGCTACTGACCTTCATACACTGAACAGAATTATCAGCACCTAATATTATGCCTGGCACTTAATAAGCATTTAATAAAAATTTGTTGATTAAACAAGTTGTATTTTTTTTCTCTAATTCCTTGAAAAGAAATAGTAGAGCCCAAAAATAGAACTGTATTGGAGGAGAATATGAAAACAATTTGAGATAGTTGAGATTAACAGTCTAAGTGAAAGTCTCCTGTAATTTTTATCAATCTAGAGATTATAATGAAAGTCTGAGAAGAAATGAGATATTTTAGAGAGAGAGAGAGTGAATAAAGAAGAGCAATAAATAAATAAATAAATAAATAAAGACAACTTTGAGGATTTGGGGAAAAGGGAAGGAACTTTTATTATTGACCTGCAATAATAACTGTGCAAGATAGAGAATCATATAGTATTGCAGAAATTAAGGCAGAGAAAAGGTTTAGGAAGGAATACTTCAGTGAGTGATGTCAAATACTGTAAGATAGATAACCCTTAAAAGGGAGTAACAATTTTTTTCTTTCCCCCAGTCTTATTCAGGCTCAACTAGGATGCATTCCCATACAAGATTTTGCTTTGACGCAAAATACCGCAAAGATTTTCAGACATGGCTCCCGAATTACAAGACGTATGTTACAGGATTAGTGGATTTTAAATATTTTTTCCAATAAACTGGTATATTAGATTTAATATTGGAAACTTTTTTTTAGGGTTATCAGATTTTGTAGCTGCTCAAGAAAAGAAGTTCACCGTATTATTGAATAGTTTGATTTTAGCTAAATGTTTTAGGTGTGAACTTTGGGAAAACTCTCTGCATGTATCCAAACAACTGGAAAAAATTGGTAGGTACTGAATATAGGCAGGCAGTTTGGCCATGTCTGCAATTTATTCACTGTTAGTAAAATTATTCTGTGATGATTACAGACCTTCAAGGAAGATAATGTGTTTGTAGGCTTAAATAAGTGCTGTACTTTACTTTAAAAAATCTGATTTTCATTTGCTCCTGCTTAAAGGATGCCATTTGAAATCAACTGAATGGTACACGAGTACATGAGAAACCTAATAAAAATTAATGCTCTCATTTGGAAATTGTTTCTCATAACAAGGGGGAAATTTGGTTATAGTAATTAGGTAACTATGTGATGCCCTCTCTTCCACTTTTATGACTAATATTTTGTTTTGATCTCAATTACAAGGTACAGAGTCAGCAGTCCTAGCCATTCCTAATTCATTACAGAAAATTATGTCACTTCTTTATGTCTTAATTTTTTTTGGTTTTCAATAACAGTAGAGTATTAATACTGATTTTCATAGAGATTCTGTAGACAAAAGATTGTGCTTTATTATTTTGTCTATAGGAACCTTGTGTAGTGTGTGCTCTGAGACGATAGGGAGTACCATTTACAAAGGATTTTCCTGTTTGGTACCTGTGACCTTGTGACCCTATTTCTTCTTAGATAGCTAGAATTCTAAAAAGAGAGTCACTATCTCATGACTGACAGCCTTGTTATTTTACAATTTTGTATGCATCTTGGGGGTATCAACAAATTAAATAATGGATTTTTAGGGATATTTTGTTATTTATTTGGACAAAGATTACCAACTGTTTATGAAGAAGTCCTACCTTTTGTATCTGTGAAATTTGAAATCAGTGGGATGGCAGAGGGTTGACTAGGAAGTCATGGGAGCTGGGGTGAAGGGGACATTGGCTGGTGAAAGTAAGGGGAGAGATTCCTGATAGAAAGGCTAACCTTCTTACAGAAGTCCTGGTAACCAAATATCACATCCATGCCATAAAGGCAAGAGTTCTCAATTGGAAAGGTGGTTCCATACAACATTTAGAAAATTTTGAAATTTGGCTAAGTGATTACTAGTAAATTTCATTATACTTGAAAAAGCCAATCTTTCTGGCTTTCTAGAGTATTGTCAATATGGGCATCTTTTGCATTCTGTCCCTTCCAGATTGGTGAAACTAACCTGTTTTCACACATACTCATTACAGCTGAACAGAAAAAAGCAAATATTGCCCAGAAAAAAAAAAAATCATATACTAGAAAAGTGAGAGAATCCAAACAAAAAGTCAAATCCAATATGTTATTGAGCATCTTGAAAAAAATAATGCATAGAAATTGATTTTAATCGTGGCTATAAACTAAAAAGTTAAAAGTCAATAAACATTTTCAGAGGAAAATGAAATGAACATTAAGGAATTATGAGTACTAGAAGCTGTGTCTTAAGAAGAACTGAGAGAAATTCCCAAGAACAAGTAAATACATGAGTAAGGAAATAGGGTCATGTCTTCACCAGTAATACATGTAATATATGTGCCTTAGACGAGGTAGTAATATTTTGTAATTTTAGACTGCTCAGTGTCTTCTGTTTGGGGATTTAGATAAATTCATTCATAAGCATCTAAGAATTTTAAATTCTGCCTTCTGAAAGTATAATGAAATAGGAAAGATCCAAAGAAGAAAAAGAACTTGATTTTTTTGTTGTTGTTTGTTTGTTTGTTTTTGAGATGGAATTTCGCTCTGTTGCCCAGGCTGGACTACAATGGCACGATCTTGGCTCACTGCAACCTCCGCCTCCAGGGTTCAAGCAATTCTGCTGCCTCAGCCTCCCAAGTAGCTGGGATTACAGGCATGTACCACCACACCTGGCTAATTTTGTATTTTTAGTGGAGACGGGGTTTCTCCATGTTGGTCAGGTTGGTCTCAAACTCCCGACCTCAGGTGATCCGCCCACCTTGGCCTCCCAAAGTGCTGGCATTACAGGCATGAGCCACTGGGCCCGACCGAATTTGATGTATTTGGGGAATAAAATGAAAGCAAGAGTGACTGGAGAGTAGTCAGCAAGAGGAGAGTTAGATGAAATTAGATTTGAGACATAGGCTGTAGTCATTTCATATAGGTAAGGAAATTTGGCCCTGGTAAGGAAATTACCACTTCATTCTAAATGCAGTGGAAAAGTATTGGAAGTTTTAGGCAGTAGAGTAAAATAGTCTGGTTTAGGTACAGAAACATAGAACTGTATTTCTAAGACAGAAATGGTCAGAGAGCCATAGCTTCATGAAGCAGTATTCCCTTGCTTCATTCGAGCATGATCCTTGAATCATGTTGCCTTTCTTTCAGGCATGAGTACAAAAGTGCATGTCTCTTGGTGATTGGCCTATGGATGACGTATAGTAAAACTAAATGTCCATCATGTGGACCAGAGTTTCTCTTCCTTTTATAAAGCAAATGCATATTTTATTTGTCTGAATAAATATGCATAATTGAATAATGTCACAAACCTTTACAAAAATCTTTTATTTATTTGACTGGATCTTTAAATTTCTTTTTTACTAATTTAGTTGTTATATATTTAAATATATGTTTTATTTAAAGTGGATTATTTTTAAGTTGCTGTTTGATTAATTTTCCACAGGTATAACATTGTCAAATGCAATCATAAATGCTGGTTTGACTTCCTTTAAAAAAATAAAAGAGACAGATGCAAGGGAACTTGAATTAGTATTTACATTCACTTATTCCTAATTCCTGAATTCTAGCTAAATTCTGAGGCCTGCCTTTATTTCTATTAAAAGTTATTTTCCTTCTCATAGTCATAAGTATTTTAACTTACCAAGGTTTTGGGTGATAAGCATTATTAAAGCTATTTATTCTAAAAAATATTTTACTAAAAGAATTTCAAGTGTTGTGGTAAGAATATAATGGTGTAAATATTTTTAGATTTTAAATAGACATCCCGCTTTGGAACCCAGATAAAAGAAACTGATGTATCTACCAAAATATGGACTTAAAGTGGATCAGGTAAATATTTTCTGTTTCTTAGATATTTTATTGTCTTTTCAGAAATAAAGCTACCCATAAATAGGCTTCAGCTGAGTATGAGAAGTAAGATTATTTTTAACACTTTTTATACTTGTTCTTTTTTAAAGATTACAAGATATAGTGATACAATGGCAGAAATACTAGTAACTGTTATTTTAAGAAACTTTGAACAGCTACAAACTAAAAGAACAGCATCGGATTCTCACTATGTTACCTTAATTATAGGTGATGCGATAATGAAGTAGTTTATCTGCACAAGATTATGTAAGTGTGAAATTTCTGGTGTTTGATTTATTTCTAATCATACACTGTAAAAGAAAAATTCTACTGGAAAAAAAAATAACAAGCTCATTGTGGGATCAACTAAATTACATTTTCCTGACACTATAATGGGATAGTTTCTCTATTTTTCTATTAAAGAAAATATTAACATTGGGTCTGTTCTTTTAAATTGTTATATTTAGTACTCAAATGAACAAAGTATAAAATCTATCACCATGGTCTGAAACAAGTGAGTAGATTACCTCTAGGAAGTCTTTCTTATTTCACTGCTTTTCTCCAGTCATTCATGGCCCTACTACTGTTTGGATGCAGTCTTTCTTCTACTGTCCTCAAAATATACCTTCTACTTCCAAATTAAAATCTAACAAATTACTATAGCTCCATTGTAGGATCCAAGCAAACAAAGCAAATATATAGAGGAGGTACCCTCCCTTATATCTAGTTCTGTAGCATGCCATTCTATAATTTTTACTTCAGCAGTTTTCCAGATCCTATTATTTTCTCCCAGGATGTCATAAGCAATCTCTAAGGATATCAGTTGCAGCTATAACTAATATTTTTTGCACTTAGTGGGTTCCAAATATTGAATTATTTAATATTTGTATGAGACAGGTGCTATCCATATTTTGTAGAGGAGGAAACTGAGACAAAAAGAGTTTAATGAGTTTGATTTATGATTAATCAAACTTTAATCATGGTCATATGACTAATTAATATCAAAGTCTAGATTTGAACTCAAGCAGTTTGACTCCAGAGCCTAAACTCCCAACCATATTACTGTAATTGTAAGTTCAAGAATGACTGTAATTCTGAAATGGAAATCTCCTAATTGTGCCAGTATACTAGAAGATACCTTCCCAAAAAGTCGCATGCAAGGTTTCTGAAGGGACTGCAGTGACCAGGATATCCCTTTCACTGGTAACTGCTCTCCTGCAGCTAACCATGACCCACTTACAGAGAATATGCTATTGTACAAATCTTTGTTCTCTGTGACTACTACATCTATGACTATATGAGACTAAAATAAGTTCAGTCATAAAATTGGTTGCTGGTTTGTTTGTGATGTTATTAGATACAAACCATTTTATACCAATTTAAAAATACTATGGAAGTTGTTCTCATAATACATGTAACTTACGTATAGCCAGTTTAAAATGGTAGTGATTTAGGGGCAAGCACATGTGTTATTGACACAAAGTATATATTCTTATTGAGACTAAAATGAGTAAATGTAACTTGGAAACAGCTGTAATTAAGAAAATTAGGGATCAGATGGGGTGGCTCACACCTGTAATCTCAGCATTTCGAGAGGCTGAGGCAGTAGGATCACTTAAAGCCCAGAGTTTCAGACCAGCCTAGGCAACAAGCGAGACCCTATTTCTACAAAAATAAATAAATAAATAATCTGGGCTTAGTGCCAATGTGCCTGTGGTCCCAGCTCCTTAGGAGAGCGAGGCAGGAGGACTGCCTGAGCCTAGGAGTTTGTGGCTGCAGTGAGGTATGATTGCACCACTGCACTCCAGCCCAGGCAAGAGTGAGACTATCTCAGAAAAAAGAAAATTAATTAATTTAAAAAAAATCATGGGCAAGAGAGTTCCATTGATACTTTATTCTCCCTCCTTAAAAGTTGGGGAAAGCAGTTTTCAGTAATTGATTTCAGTTTACTACTAGAGAGTATCTTTCTTAAGAACAATCAGCCCTTGACAATTAATATGTATTTCATTCAGGGTTTAGATCACTATTTAAACTATACTATTTTTTAGGGATTCTGTTTTGCTAAAAGTTGGAAATTGGGCTAAAAAGATTGCTGTGAAGAGAGCTCTTAAATCTGAAGATCTTAGCATAAATATAATAAGTTCTGAATTTGGTAAGTTAATTGAAGTAATGAAGACATGAATATAAATAACATAATTGCATTTAAAAATTACATCCTGTATACTGGTACAGAAAAACAGTATAAATGGTATAATGCAAAAATAAGATATTTAGATAATGTGAATAAACTTTAAAGGAAGTTTCATGTATTTAGGTATGTAAAAGATATCATGGACCAAGATGCCATAATTAAAAGTTTATCTTTTCATTTATAGATATTTTATTTTCCTAGATAGTTAAATTGTGGTTATTGTTGGAAGATTTTTATTTTTATAATGATCAATATATAATTTTTTAGTTGTCATATTTTTTAACCTTTCAACATATTTTAACTTTGTGGACTTCTTAGCTCTAGAAGTTATAAAAATATAAGAGAGATAAAAAGAAATGTGTTCTCATATGTGGATTTATATGACTTACATAAGCATTTGTATACTTTTTTTCATTTTCCAGTTGGGCTTGATGTTCAGCAGAAATTTACAGTCTTTTACTTAGAACCCAAGAGGTTTGGAAATCAAATGACTATGCAAAGAACATCTGAAACACAGATTTCCCATTCTAAACTTTCAGATAGATCTACAATAGCAGGACCTAATAAAGGTAAATAGCTCTATTAATTCTTATTTTATATTAAAGCAAAGGTATGGCTAGAGAGGAATATCATCAGTGTTATAGTACTGCAACACTCCAATTGAGGATATTCTGGAATAAGATATTTAAACTTCATAGTTGTTGCATTAATAGTATATAGTAGAGATTCTTATAGTTAGTATTTGTCAAATTGGGGTGATAATTGGGGGACAAATTTTTTGATTCATCTTTTGGTATATGTATGAGTCCGTTTTCGTGCTGCTGATAAAGACATACTTGAGACTGGGAAGAAAAAGAGATTTAATTGGACTTACAGTTTCACATGGCTGGGGAGGCCTCAGAATCATGGTGGGAGTTAAAAGGCACTTCTTACATAGCAGCAGCAAGAGAAAACTGAGGAAGAAGCAAAACAGAAACCCTTGATAAACCCATCAGATCTCATGAGACTTATTCACTATCAGAATAGCGATTAAGGGGAAAACTGGCCTCCATGATTCAGTTACCTCCCCCTCAGTCCTTTCCACAACATGTGGGAATTCTGGGAGATACAATTCAAGTTGAGATTTTGGTGAGGACACAGCCAAACCATGTCAGTATACGTTTTTCCTTTTCCATACTTATGCCATCGTTACAGCCATTGTCAGGGGAGAGCAAGTGATGTACAAGAATCAACAGATCTGTTAAGACAAATCAGAGTGAAAATGAATTATTGTTTATTTTAATTAATTTATTATTATTATTATACTTTAAGTTCTAGGGTACATGTGCATAACGTGAAGGTTTGTTACATATGTATACTTGTGCCATGTTGGTGTGCTACACCCATCAACTCGTTAGCACCCATCAACTCGTCATTTACATCAGGTATAACTCCCAATGCAATCCCTCCCCCCTCCCCACTCCCCATAATAGGCCCTGGTGTGTGATGTTCCCCTTCCCGAGTCCAAGTGATCTCATTGTTCAGTTCCCACCTATGAGTGAGAACATGCGGTGTTTGGTTTTCTGTTCTTGTGATAGTTTGCTAAGAATGATGGTTTCCAGCTGCATCCATGAATTTTTTCAAACATATACAAAAGTAGATAGAAGTATATGATGAACTTTCATTTACTCATTATCCACTTTGAACAGTAATTAACTCATGGCTACTACTTTCATCTATACCTCTCTTTAGTTTTCTTCCATCCATATTTTGAAGCAAATTTTAGGTATCGTATTATTTCCTCTGTAAATGTTTCATTATATATCTATCTAAATGGTAAAGATTTTTTTAAACTACATTACTTTTATACATAAAAACTAATATCATCCAATATTAAGTCAGAGTTCAAATTGTCTCATAAATATTGTAGATATATTATCATCTTCATACCATCTAGATATAACAGATTAACTCCTGAGTTCTTTTGACCATTTCCAGTAGTTTTGATATGCAGAGTAATATGCTGTTCTAGGCTCATTTTGTATATATCTAGCTTCAGTCCCATACATAATAAACCCTTTGTTCAAGAAGCCTTTTTTTTAATGTTAGTAGGTTTCAGAGATCACAATCTGTGTCCTAGAGGAGCTCATTGCCATTGAGTGATCATGATCTCTTAGATTTTTTCATGCATAGAGTTAAGTATTATGTGATTACTTTTTTGTCTTAAAAGACATCATGAATTCATACTTATCCAATCAAATTCAGAGATAACAAAATTTATCCTTAAACTCAATTATCTATACACACCTTCTATCATGCTGAGAAACTTGGTTCTCAATGGCTTAAAAATAATAGAATATCACTGATTTTCTATCCTTTATATACATTACACACACAATAAACAGTCTGAAAATAGCAGCATCAGACTATCACTCTTAATATGATCATTAAAATTTGAGAATTATTTTGCAGGTATTTTTGTTCTTAGACTGTATCTAACTATCTTAGACTATATCTCAATAGTAAAATTATGTGTTTAAAAATCGCTTGGAATAGATCCTCTGTGTGCGGCCATGTCACTCTGGATACATATACTTTCATTTGTTTCATTTTATTTTATATTTTTAGGAATAGCTTTTAAAAATTAATTTTGTTTTATAATAATGTAAAACATTTACATGGCTCTGTAATTAAATCTACAAAACAAGCACTAAATATATAAACACTTGCAGCATAGGCAGTCTGCCTTGCAGTGCATTCTCGTTCAGTTGGTCCTATTTTCACCCTTTTGACTCCGTAAGGGGAGCAGTTAACAGACACTGGGGAATTTGAGAGCAGCAGTGTGATTAGTCATGCTCTCTGAATAGTATTGGCAATTATGATAAATAGTAACTGCAGTGAGTAGTGGCAGGAAGAGCACATTTAGAACCATTCTGTGAGCTTATGAGCATTCATCTTCTTCCTTTTGAAGAACACAAGAGAGCTTCTATTTCTGGGTAGGATATAGTTTTGTGGTAGGCCAGTGCTTCCCCAGCTACAACTATGAAAACCTTCATATCTTATATAATTATAATTTTTAGGGCATCAGAGATTTGTGGAAGCAATAAGGACTAAAGAAACTAAAATTCCTATAAAAAGGCTAGGTAGACCATGCCCTGTAAAGAGGTTTACATGATCAGCAACTCACTATGTTTGCCTGACAGAGAAAAAGGGAAACCTCTTCTGGTGAAATATAATCTGGAAACCACCCACACAATGTCTGTTATATGATAAAAAAATTATGAGGCCTGCAAAGAGACAAGACTATATGATTGATAATCAACTGTGTAAAGAAACAAGCCAGACATGGTGACACACACTAGTAGGCCTAGATATTCAGGAGGCTAAGGCAGAAGGATTTCTTCAGTCCAGGACTTTGAGGCTGTAGTGCACTATGATCACGCATGTGAATTTACCACTGCACTCCAGCCTGGGTCACATAGCAAGACCACATCTCTTTTAAAAAAGTATAAAATAATTATGATTAATATTTTCAAGAAAATATAGAAAAAATAGGTAAATGCATGAAAAGATGGAAAGTTTTACCAGATGATTACAATCTATACAGAGATTTAAAGGGACTTTCTAGAACTGAAAATACAGTATCTGAAGTGAAGGGCCAGTTGGGTAGGTTTAACATTAGATTCAATATAAGCAAATGTAGGATTTGTGGGCTTTGAGACATATCAGTAGAAAATGTCCAAATTGAAGCCCAGAGATAAGAGAATGGAAAGAACACAAAGGAATATAATATGCAAAAAAAAAAAAAAAAAAAAAAAAAAAAAAAAAGTCTAGCATATGCATAATTACAGTCCCAGAAGCAGAGTAGAGAGAGAATGGGACAAAATTAACCTTCAAAGAGACAATGGCAGAGTCCATTTTAAAATAATAAAAGACATCAACCAACAGATTTAGAATTTTGGTAAACCCCAAACAGAGGCAAATACAGGGAAAACCACACCTGGACACATTGTAGCAAAACTGCTGAAAATGTTAAAATTAGACACATCATTTATGCATTCCCTTCAAAAGAGCAACAGCGAAACTGACAGCTGACTTCTCAACAATAATGATGGAAAACAGAAGACAATGGAACGTCATATTCAAAATTTTACCAACCTATGTTTCTGCCCTGTGGAAAATATCCGTCAGGATGAAAGTGAAAAAAGACATAGAGAAAGAAAATAACTAAATAACTTTTTCACTATTAGCATATTTATCAGCCTGAATTAAAACAAATACTAAGGCCAGGCTTAGTGGCTCATGCCTATAATCCTAGCACTTTGGGAGGCCAAGATGGGCAGATCTCTTGAGCCTAGGAGTTCAAGACCAGCCTAGGCAATGTGGTGAAACCCTGTCTCTACAAAAAAATTAAATTAGTGAGTGTGGTGACGTGCACCAGTGGTCCCAGCTACTTGGGAGGCTGAGGTGGGAGGATCATTTGACCCTGGGAAGTTGAGGCTGCAGTGAGCTGAGATCACACTATTTTACTACAGCCTAGGTAACAGAGTGAGACCCTGTCTCAAAATAAAAAAATAAAATAAAATAAATGCTAAAGAGATTTCCTTAGAGGAAAATGATGGCAGATGAAAACATGGACCTACTGGAGGGAATGAAGAAGAGTAGAAAGGATAAATATATGGCTAAATATAAATCGACTATGTAAAACAATAATTGAAATGGCTTTCAGAGTTTAAAATATATGTGGAAATAAAATGCAAAGCAAAAAAATACAAGCTTGCATCTCAAGGATATGCCATATCAAACAATAATGTAACGAGAAAAACAGAAATCAATGATACATAGGATATAAATATACAACAGAAAAAAATCAACAAAGCTGAGATTTGGTTCTTAGAAAAGAGAAATAATATTAAGAACTCTCTATGAGCAAAGACTGATCAAGAGAAAAAGAAAGAAAACACAACAATATCAAGAATGAAGAAGAGGATATTACATTGTATATCAAAAAGTTACTGAAGATATTCAAAAGCATAAAAACAATGTATTAACAATTTTGTAATGATAAATTTGACATAGTTTGGGTTAAAATGAGAAAATTTATTGAGAAGCAGAGCTTACCAAAACTGACAGAAGAAAATAAAAACTGAGTAGTCTGATACTAGTAATGAAATTGTAGCAATTGTTAGTAAAAATTTTTCCACAAAGAAAACTTGAGGCATGGATGACTTCACTGTTAATTTTTCTCAATTAAGAAGAAATAATATCAAACTTACCTAAACTTTTCCAGAGAATAGAAAAAAAAAGAATATTTTCTAATGTTTCTTTTTTTTTTTTTTAATGAGGCCAGTATATCAAAACCTGACAAGGACATTAAAAAGAAAGGGAAATTATTTAGCAACGTATCTCATGAACATAGATCCAAAAGTCTTTAATGAAATATTCACAAGCTGAATTCAGCCAGATGTTTAAAAAGCACAATTAAGTATGGTTTATTGCATGTATGCAAGAGAGGCTTACCATTCAAAAGTAGATCAACATAATTCACTATGTTAACAGAGAAAAAGGAGAAAACCATTTGATCTTCTTG